CGCCGTACGCTGCCGCACGCGCCGCCACGCGCCACCGGAAGCTGCCAGCTGCTGAAAATCACGCGGGCACGTGAGAGCGCGTGGAAGCACCTTTTTCCGATCGGTCAATGCCGTTGACTTTGCCGTGACGTCAGCTTTCCGGATTGGTCAAGTTTGTTCGATTCCGAGAAGATTTGATTTGCGGTCAACTGTCCGGGCCAGCCAGATCTACATAAATTTTAAGCAGTAAGTTTTCTTCATCAAACCTTTAGATCCGCTGCGCATAGGTTTATGTTGAATGTTTGTCTGTGATTTGTGCATATCGAGATCCTCGTGGGTTCCAACACATTCGTGACCCATCTTGAAAGAGAAAGGTTAAGTACCGAGTGAATCTCTAGTGTATAAGATCACTCAGGAAATTAGAACCTCAGTAGTTGAGGACCAAGAGTGTTGTTTAAATGCCCCGAATTGGTTACTAATCGACCCCCATAGTTTAGGAGAATCTAATGTGTATCACCGTCGTAACTCTTGAGAGTGGCTAAGCCTCGAGAGGGATGATGGTTGATAATTCTCATACGTTAGATCGAGCGTAAGTCCTGAAGACTGATGCATGGATGAAAGACGACGATGTCGTCCATAGGACGAGTGGATTGCTCCGACATAGCGTGAATATCTTGTGAGTTGGCTGCGAGGCACACACTTGTAAAAGGTATGAATTTGTAGTTAAGCTTGATATTTAGGCTCTATATGACTCGAGATGTTAAAATTTATGTTACGAAAAGCATGCTTATATGATTGAACTTGACGATTATTGCACGACTGGGATTCTTTAAAACGTGTTATGTCGTGATCGTATGAGTTTATGTGAAATTGTGTTAAAAAAATCATGTTAAGGCTGACTCTCTTATATTGTATATGCGCGTACATGAGGTGTATATTGTGATTACATGTGACCCCTGATGCTATGTACATGAAATTATGTTTGTGTGCTGAAAATAGTATGAGAACTTCTCATTATAACCTCTGTTTGTGCTCAGATTATCGTGGCCTAAAAGCTGATTTATAGTTAAGAGTTCTGCATAAGTTTTGTAGTGCTTTGAGTTAGGTTTCTGTGAGTTTTGAAATTTCATGACTCGGAGTTGAATTGAATTTATTTATAATTTTTAAAGTTGTAACTGCGAGCAGTTTTTGAAATTCTGGGCAGAATTGTGAATCATGATGTTGGGCTGTTTTTGACAATGTTAATGTGACTATGTGAAAATATGACCAACATGAAACTTGTAGTATATGTTATAAGCTTTCTCTGGAAGTTGAAATCTTGCAATTTGGTGTTTTAGTTGATTTTATATAAGTTTTCAAAGTTGGAGTTATGCCCAGAATTTTTAAAGCAGTGGCTGTGTTTACAATTGAAATGTATGCTCTGAAATGAGGCCCTTAACGTGATTATTTGTAAAGATGCCCTTCTTGGAGCTTGTAGCAATTCAAGTGTAGTTTCTGTAGGTTTTGAGCTTGCATGATTTGGAGTTTTGTGGCATGAGATATTCCTGATTTACTGACCTGCTATAATTCATAAATAGTTTCGTTGGCAGATTTCTTGACCAAGTGTTTTATGCATAAACTCGATTTAAAGTTATTTTTTGGGCTTAAGTGATCAACAAGAAAGTTATAGGTCTGTTTTTTTTTTTTTTTTTTTTTTTTTTTTTTTGTTAGCTTTCTAATGAGATAAGGTTCATGCTTATGTGATGACTGTGGCTCAATTTATGTTAAATGTATTTAGAATATGCACGAGATGAGTTGGTAATGATGGCAGAAATTGATTCCTAAATGTTAATTGCTTTTCCACTATCTTAATGACCTTATCTGTTTATGTAATCTAAATAAATATTGTAGATGCATGCCTTAGGCTTAACTTGAGTCTTGAATCGTGTTATTTGGGTGCCTGTAGCTTATAAAATTCTCAATTTTCTAAAACCCTGTAAGT